AGGAAATGTCGAGTGTCGGTGGAGTCGGGATGAGGGAGCTTGAGGCATTCCAAGGGACCAGTTCCGGGGGTAGCGTCCACGGATAATATGTATAGTTGGAAGGTGAGCTGATATCCAGTAGCGTAATGCTCGGGTGGTCTGCCGCGTATTCTCCAAGGGCAGATTCGACATTGTCCCTATGAGGCATGAGATGAAGTCGAGCCAGATTAGCTGCATGAAAGACATCTCCCCGCGAAGCAATACTGGAAATGGTCATCGGCAGGGGTGAAGGTTTGACAGGACAGAATAACTCGTCGCCGTGTGCTGGATGCAAGACAGCCTCACGATGGGAGCCTTTGGCAACACTTCGGGGGATGACCAATGGATGGCCTTCAGTGGTGAAGACGAATGGCTCATCCAGGCTGTTGAGAGGGTGTGTAGGATCGAAGAGGAGAAAGAGGTATTTTGCGGTCTCTCCGAGGAAGAAGCTCTCCATCCTATCCGTCTGCTCTCCGGTCAACACATTTTGGATGCTCGCCCAGCCACACCTCGTCCAACATCGTCGTTTGATATCCCGCAGGACCATCTCCCCAACGTGAAAGTACCAGGGATCTTCCGTCGCGCGGTAGAGATAATACGTGGACTCGATGAACTCTGGTCGGCCTATCCACCAGCCAAGCCCACCTTCAATGCCACCTGTCATGAGATTCCACCGCTCCGGCAGGGCAGAGAATCTTGTCCAGAGAGCTGTCTGTAGAAGGTGAGTTTCCACGGCCTCGTCAACATGTCCCGCAAGCGTAAGGAGGCCAGGGTAGTACGCGCTCAATGCATCCATCCAGAATCCTCTTGCTGCGCCAGTGGAGAAATCAGCTTGGATGTAATGAGGGTGCTGATATGTTGATCCACGATAAAGGTGCCGCTTGATTGCCGCATGAGCAGCATTCCAAGCATCGAGAAAGGCTTGGGACGTCGAATCTTCCGCAGGTAAAGATTGATGAAGAATCCTTGGATCTTGTGACGCAGTGCTGTTATAGACCGGATGAGCTTCGCGTGACAGGAGGATATGCGACTTCAGAGCGTATTCGAAGAAGCTGTCGATTCCAGCACCGATGCCCGTCCAAGTGCCGATCCAGTTTCCGCTCTCTGCGTCAATCCCGCCGCCAATCAGGTCGATAGCACTGCGCCTTTGCCAGATCGCCCAGAATGCTCTTTTCGCGAGATCCTCAAAGCGAGGATCTCCAGTTAGCCGGCTCAAGACGGTAAACTCAAGCACCAGACTTCCAGCACCGGCACTGCACGTCTCTGTGATTTCGGCGGCCCCTGATCGAGCTTCACAACGGCCGTCTTCTGCACCAGTATTGAAAGGAGAATTGACATAAAACGGGATCCCATGTCGAAGGTTGACACGAGGATATGGTATACCGGTGGAAGACCAGAAGGCAGGGATCAGGCGGTTCCCAAGGTCATATGCCAGCCGGAGAAGTTGGCCGTCATATTCAAAAGCATTAGGCCAGACAATTCCTTGCTTCTTGCCGCCAAACTGATCCTTTTGCCAGGCTTCAGCATACGCTACCTGCTCTTGAGGAGGGGCATAGCCGCGGATCGGTAGCTCGCCAACCGCAAATAGATGAGCGCTCAAGAGTCCACCAAGACCTCGTATCGCTGTCTCAAACACCTGCACCTTACTATCCAGATCGAATCCTCTCGCTCTTAACCCTTGACCCGACGGGCCCTCGGAGCCATCGCCATACTGCTCGACCAAATCCCTGACACTGTCCTGGAAAAGCCGCAGGGGTTTATTTTGCTTGGAACTTGACGGGCTGGAGGCCAGTATCGCGAGGGTAGACAGACTGTCGATAAGGGTCAGGGAGTAGTTTCCCAGAGGGTCATTGACTTCGATGTGCGCGGGGTTGTCGCGGTCGCGTGTCAAGGGTTTGCAGGAGATGGGTCGCAATTCGTCCTCGGGAAAGGCATAGGACATGTAATTCTCGAAGCCATGATAGAAAAGATCCTCAGCCTCCTTTCTGAGGGCCCTGATCTGGCCAGGTGTCTGTGCGTGTGCCGTGGCTATGGAAGCCAGACAGGCCAGAAGCACGACAAGACGAACGCCTCTCAGCCATTGCCAAAGCCGTGCCGGTGCGAAAATTGTAGACAATGTTATAGCTGGAGGCGTCACATGGCGACAAATCATGCGCATGGCACACTTGCGGGTGATGGTGCCACAGAACGCATATCAATGGCGAAGTGTAATACACAAGTGCGTCCAGCGATGATTCGGTGTCCTGAACGATATTCGAAATGGAGGTTTTGTCTGACAGCGCATTTCTCGGCGCTGTGGCTGGTGAAATGGATTTATCGTTCTGTCAGACGAAACCTCCCTGCGCACTCGAACTTATTGTTTGGGGCTCTGGCGCCTTTCCTTGTTTCCTCCGTTGGTCCCATCCTCTACCGCCCACAGTAACTCGTTTCTGGGCTGACAAACTGCTGAAGACCGCCGGTAGCACTGCTAGCTTACACCCACAGCACCAAATTCTACGTGAACGGCAGACGCCCCGTCAAACTCCGGTCAGTTAAACAGGTTGTTTGACAATCTCCCTCCCCCACCAGTTCAGAGAAGACGCTTCAATTGCAAATACTCGGGACAAAAATGCAGCTTTCGTCGTGGTAGCCATCGCTCAGCTGAATGTAACACGAACCTCAAGCCTCGTCCGTTCGTCAGCATGATTGAAAAACAAAGGAGATTCTTGTGGTCGCCCTCCCTCATCGCGTGGTTGAACATTAGTCTATAGATGGGAACATGGGAGCAAATGGCGAATTGCCGGGCGCGGGACATAATAGAAGGACCATAGCACAAAATAATATTATAATGGAACCCCCAATTTTTCCTGCGACGAACCGATCTTCCCATCAGAGACAACCTCCACCGAATTGCTGGCCATCGAAGATCTTTGAAGAGCAGGATTTTGACAACATTCTCCGTCATGAAAGTCTTGCTCACAGGAGGCAGCGGTTTCCTTGCTGTACATTGCTTGGATCAGCTACTCAAGCATGGGTATTTTTTGACCCTTCCGGCCCTGGATGGCATCCAGCGTTAACCATTCATTAGGCACGACGTGGTTGTCACTGTACGCTCTGACGAGAAAGGACAGTACCTGCAAGAATTATTCAAGGGCCAAACAGTCTTGTATGCAATCGTCAAAGATATCGCGGTAGACGGCGCTTTCGACGAGGCCGTCAAGGCTGATCCACCATTTGAGGCCGTCGTGCACACTGCCAGCCCTTTCCATTTCAAAGTCACCGACAACAAGAGAGACCTCCTTGATCCTGCCATCAATGGGACAACAGGAATTCTGAAGGCTGTCCACCAATCAGCAAAGTCTGTTAAGCATGTGGTGGTCACGTCCTCCTTCGCTGCCCTGTCAAATTATCGCAACCCACCCGCGGTATACAGCGAAGAGATCTGGAATGACATGACCATGGAGGAAGCTCTGACGGCGCCAAACCCACAAGCGGCATACAGAGCGAGCAAAAAGTTCGCCGAAAAGGCTGCTTGGGACTTTTTGGAGGCAGAGAAACCAGGTTTTACTCTGACCACCCTTTGTCCACCTATGATATATGGACCGGTGCTCCATCAAGTCAAGTCGTTGGATGATTTGAACACTTCCAGCCTGCGGATATTGAATCTCTACCGTGGGACGCCGCGAGCTGGACCAGTCGGTTCCCCGATCCACGTTGACGTTCGAGACTTGGCTCTGGCTCATGTGCTCGCATTGGAAAGACCACAGGCGGCCAACCAGCGGTTCTTTGTCGCTGCTCAATTGGCCACCGAGACGCAGCTTCGGGAGATCATGGAAGAGGCCTTTCCAGAGATCAAGGGGAATCTCAAGGACGAGCTGACCAACACCCCTCCACCCTGGGGTATCGACAACAGCAAATCCATCAATGTTTTGGGGATCAAATACCGGCCTCTGAAAGAGACGATCGTCGATGCGGTCAATTCCCTGAAGAAGCTTGGGGCATAGAACATCAGGCGTAGAAAGACGGCGAGACATGGTATAGAAGATATAGAGGATATAGACTTTCCATCACCGCGACATCTTGTTGTTCGGATCGTTCGTTTCAATGTTATAGATGTATATCCAAACAAACATCAGAACCTGGCCGAGTATTCAAGGACCATGCTGTGGTTTCGTAAACGAGGTCAATCGGTGGTTACACGGATGACGATCTATTTTCTCGATCCCTCGTGGCAGCGGCAGTTTGTTTCCCAACTGAAATATCATGAGCCTTTCTCCTTTCTCCGACAGCCTCGATCGTCCGAAAGCCTGTGAGTTCGGACGGGCCAAGCGAGGGAAGCGGGAAGCGGGAAGCGGGAAGCGGGAAGCGGGAAGATTCGGCGATTTTGCAAGTGGCCTTTTGCCGCGGCGCTTGTCTTTTGTCCGGATGCCCATTTCTCTCAAGTCTCTTTTGGTCTTCCTAATCTGATATTCGGTAATAATTTATCTCCCTCCCCCCTCTCAAAGTGTGTCCACGGCGTTGTCAGTGATCGCCGCGGCGAAAACAACAGGGCAAAGATGTCGCTCGAGGACCCGACGACATGGGTGAATTCGACAACGTTGGACGCCTCCATCGCCGGCGTCGCCGGAAGCTCGAAACAAGGTAACGCCTGCGAAGCCTGCCACACGCGAAAAGTCCGATGTGACAAGAACCTCCACGAGAGCACGCGCGAAGTTTGTTCCAATTGTCGCGATGCTGGGAGAGCCTGTCTGTAAGGGTCCCCGTGTTTTGTCCGAGATATATATATATGTACTTCCGAGAGCACCTTGTTGACACGGGAGGGAATCTATCCAAAAAGACCGCATGTCAGGAAGCGCAGACGTCAGGTGTTCCTTCGTGACGGTGCTGCTAGTTCTGCTAGTACTGGTGCAGCCGCCGCCGCTACCAGCAGTAGTCCAGCACGATCCGTAAAGGAGGATGAAAAGTTCCGACTTCCAGCAATTGGCGAGACGAGTAGGAAGAGGATGAGGACGACGATAACGACGACCCTGACACCATCCCAACATTCGAGCTATCTCGGTCGCGCCGACTACATCCCCGCCCATGTCGAGATTGACGAGGACGATGCGACTCATTACGAAAGTCCCGGTGCACGCGCGCACTCGTGGCACAACTTTGAGGTCAAGATGCGGCGCAACCTATCCGTGCTCGAGCTGCCCCAGGGGACACTGCGGCAGACACTGTTGAGGAATTTCCTGCAAAGGTGTCGGCCCTGGATGCCCCTCGTGAATGCCTCAGACCTGGAGCGACTGGATGCAAAGACCAATGACACGCTGCTCGTCACGTCCATGCTGGTGGCGGGAAGTATAGTCTCGTCAACACCGCAGGCTGCGGAACAGGGCCAGAGGTGCTACCAGCGGGCCAAAGTGCTCTTCTACACGAATGCCGAGCAGAATCACCTCCACGCCATCATGGCCACCATCTTCCTGCAGTGGCTGAATCCGTCTGGCCCGGAGCACATCTCCATCGACAGTAGTAGCTTCTGGCTGCGACTCAGCGCCGCCCTTGCGCACCAGATGGGTCTCCATCGCGAACCGGGCCCCCGGATGGCAGATGCGAAGCTGAGGCGGAGGATTTGGTGGGCACTGGTTGTAAGGGACGCATGACCTGTCATGGTTATCCCCAAAGCTAACACGATGCTAAAGTCCAGGGACAATCTGATAGCCGCAAGTCACGGGCGTCCAAGGGCGGTCAATGCAGAAGACTCAAATGTTCGCCCCCTCCGGCTGGACGATTTCGACGGCGACGACGAGGACGCACTCCTCTTCATGCACTTTGCCCAGATCACTTCCATCCTAGGAGATATGACCGAGGAGTATCGTCGGGGGACCCTGTCGGATCGCAAGAAGATCGATTTCGAAGACAGCCTCCGCCGATGGCTGAAGACCGTCCCACCCAGCCTGCGACTATACAATCCCGAGACGAAAAGACTGAATGACTATGACTTCAAAGCCCGGCAGCTCCACACCATCTACTTCACCTCGCTCATCATTCTCTTCCGGCAGGACAAGAGAGATCAGCCGCCGTCACCCGTCGCTCTGCTCGCTGCGTCCTTTGTATCCGGCATCTTCGAGGAGTATCTGACGTGGGAGGATGTATCGCATCTCGCAGTCACGTCCATCTTCTACCTGATGGTCGCCGCACTCTTGCAGCTGTCATACCAGCGATTTCCTTCGCTAGCCACCCATCGGGCGGAAGAGACTGAGATTATCAGATCATCGTTAAACGAGCTCAAAAAGAGATTTCCTTCGGCCATCGGCGCTGAGAGAGTGGTCAACCAGATGATGAAGCATTCCACGACTCTGCCAGAAACGGCGCAGTCGGCGCAGATATTTCTCTCACCTGATCAGGAAGAATTCTTTGCGCCCTTTGGCCCCGAGCTGTGTCGGAAATGGCGGCTGGTGGTCGAGAATCCAATATCCGCAGAGCCACCACCACCTCTAGAAGGAGTTGAGGAGTTTGCCGGCCTGAACCGGTCGGATAATGGAGTGGTCATCATAGGGCACACAGGCCATCATTTACAGGCCAGTGCTGAATCACCGCAAGACGTACAGGCCATTATCACCGCCGAGTCGGCATGGAACACCAGTACGCCGTTCACCTTTAACATTGACGACCAAAACCTGTTCTCGGATCAACTCGGTCTCGACAGCGTCGGCCGCTGGTGGTGGGCCGACTGGATGCCTGAAGCAGACCTAGACTTTCTCTCCAGGTCACTGTAATGCAACGGCCACGAGGTCACAAGAGAAGCTCTCGCCTATACGCATTTTCATGTCTGACGTCAGGCTATCGAGGTTAAGAGTGTCGGTAGCGGCATGAGAGGTGCCACAGCACACTTTGGTGGCCATATTGAGGGAAACGAATACAAAGATTTGCTCTGTGGGACTCACGAGGAACTCAAGCACACTCAGGACTTCGAGTCGTTCATCCCCATCTCCATCTCATCCTGTTCATGCGTTGTCCCCAGTGGACTCTTTTCTTTTCAATATCGTGCCAGAACTCTCCAGTACAAAGGGAAAGGGCACCGACAATATCGCTGAGGCATCCCGAGATCATTCGAAAAACAAGAGAGCTAGTATTCTATCAATCAGCTATAGTAAGGAGGAGAGTAATGTGAAGCCTCGCCAAGAAGATGCAATCCCCCCCCGCTCCTGCCTTCACATCGATACTCTCACTTTCACCTCACCTATAAATTTCCTATCATTACTCCTCTCTTCTTTCATTCCCTCTTTCTTTAATTCTTCAATTCTTCGTTGTCCTTGTAACAGGACTTCCTCCTGTTCCAACCCTCATTCTCTTTCTTCAACTCTTCAATCCTTCAATTCTTTAACAAGATTCTCATCGTCTCAAAATGCCTACCTCTCATCAAACAGGTAAGTGTAGTACACCAGATACAGGATTTAGATCATTGACCCCATGTCTTAGGAGATGTCTTCTTTGACTTCGCAATGAAGCGACTCAAGGCTGTCAAAGCCCAGCGTAAGATACAAATACTCATTATCATAACTTCATACTCATCAACGTTATAGGCAAACGAGCTCGTCAGAGGTACAGACAGCAAGTACAGGCTACTCAAGATACTACTACCAAGCCGGTCTCCTTAGAGGTACGTATGAAGCCTTCACACCCTCCTCCAGAAGAAACATCTATAGCTAATGTTTATGTTCAACAGCCTTCAACTCTTCCAACAAAAGTCATGCCTCCTACAGACCCAGCCAATGACATGAATCCTACGCTGAAGGCTTCTTCCTCACACCCTCTCCACGTGCCAACCCTGGTTACAACATTTCGGCCTACAGTTAAAATAGAGCCCGAAGATCATGAAATCGTGGAAATCTCTTCGGATCCTGTTGAGCCCCCAGCTCTTCCTACACAGTCGCAGCCTACAGTCAAGGTAGAGCCCGTAGACTGTAAGACAGTGAAGGTTTCATCAGACCTTCCCGACCTTGAAGAGTTATTCGCATTCAGAGGCTCTCTCTTTGAGGGATTTGATGATGATCGCAAAGCTACAAAGTCATCAGGCCGTACGGTAACTCCGGGTACGAGTCCTAGATTGCACCGCAAGTTGATGCCCATTGACGGTGGGGCGGTCAACACACGCAAAGATCTGGACGGGCTGATGCCCCTGGTACCCTAGTGTGATCCAGTTGTGGTTGTTTAGTTGATGTGAGGGAGTGCCGTCAGTTGTATCGGGGAGGGTCACATGATGGGTGTGTCAGTGAATGAAGAGCGTCAATGAAATGTTGAGAAGGAATGCTGTCCAAGTTCGTCAAGTATGTAAGAGAGCATTGTTGTTGTCTCTCTCTCTTGAGGCACCACAGAAGGGAGCCGGATATACATATTCCTAGAACTAGGTGCCTCTGCTGGCTTCTGTTCAGCGACTGAGAAACATGTTTGACATTTCAGGGGTTCAGGGTCGTTGAATTCATGACAATTGAACTGTGGTACACACTCAAATTGAGGCGAGCCGGTTTCCGGCTGGATGAGAATCTCAGATGGAGGTGCCACGGTGCCAAGGTCGGAAATGGCACGCCAAGCCTTGATATATGATTAGGTAAGAATCGATCCGTTGTGTGGCTGATGGTGGCGCACAACAACAGCCGAGGGGTGCTTGGACCACAACAGACTGGGAGTATAGGAGCCGGCAGCATAGAAAGCAATATGCAAAGGATGCTTCACAGACCTTCGTACGGTTAAGTGATTTCCAGATAGTTCTGGCCATAACTCCTCCTCTCCGGGTGCTTTGGACGTCTGTCGTGGGGTTTCTGACTCATTCCTTAGTCAGCGTTTGTGCTCAATTTCTACCCACCACTTGGTGCGAACGTGCCACTCAACCTCTTGAGATCGCATCAAACCCCTTGGCCATGCTGCGAATTTCTTATGGAGCCCAGTGCTGACACTACAGGACCCCGGCCTCGCAAGGCCTATTCCTGCGTGCGATGCTTCGAACGAAAAGTCAAATGCGACAAGCAGCATCCGTGCAGCGGCTGCGTCCGCTCCAAAGTCGAATGGCAAGTCTCGTCATGCCCCAATTGCTTGCCTGATATCAACCCGATGCGATGCTTTGACCTGGTGACCGGGCCTCTTGACTTTTCTCCCCTCATCGCTCTGCCAGGATCTTGGCTGATCATTCGTCTCTGCAGCGTCTTCCGCATCCCCCCTGCCCCTCGCCGTCGAAAACGCAAGGCGCGAGAAGATGACGTGCTCGCTCGCTTGAAGCACTACGAGGAGTTGCTCCGAGATCAGGGTATCGATCCAACCCCTCCATCCACCACGCCTAGCAAAATCGACGCGACGTCTCCTCCGCTTGACGATGCCGACAATCCCAGCAAATCCGGGTCCAAACCCGCAGAGCCGCCGTGGACGAACGGTTCAGTCCAGGGGAGGCTGATCATCGACCAAGGCAGAGCTCGGTTCATTCAGAAGTGTGTCTCCCTCCACGCCGGCGCAATCTTGTCCCAAAGCTAAAGAACGAGCAGTAAACTGTGGACCACTGTCAGCGAAGAGGTCTGCCTCTTCAAGTCCAATCTTTTCAGTCGACTAACCATAACATACAGCTCCATCATAGCAAAGATGTCATCCCGGACACGGACACAGAGAGTGAGGATGAGTTGGACACTCTTGCTGACGACAGGACCGACTTCGTCCTCGGCGTGACGCCTTCTCCGGCTCAGACATCGAGCCTGCACCCGAGTCCCGAGCACGTCCTCAAACTGTGGCAGATTTTCCTCACCAACGTCAATCCGCTCATGAAGATTGTCCATCAACCAACCCTGCAGCACTCCATTGAGGAAGCTATCCGCGACTTGGACCATATACCCCGTGGGCTTGAAGCCTTGATGTTTGCTATCTATGGCGGCGCGGTCCTGTCCATGCGTGATGGAGAATGTCAAGCAACCTTTGGCGAGTCTCGGACAGTTCTGCAGTCTAGATACCGACTGGGCATACGCCGAGCCTTGACAAAAGCGAGATTTATGGCGACCTACGACATTGTCGTCCTACAAGCACTTGTCATCTATCTTGTAAGGAGTTTGAGCTTCCCCAAATTGTCTATCGCTAATCAACGATAGCTCACTACACGTCAAGCTCTGGACGCACGGACGCTTTGGACACTGTCAGGGGTTGCGAGTCGTATAGCTCAAGGCATGGGTGTGCATCGAGACGGCACCGTCCTTGGCCTTCCCCCTTTCGAAACAGAGATGCGCCGTCGGCTTTGGTGGCAAATCAACTTGCTCGACTTTCGGGCGGCCGAGCTGAGTGGCTTTGGTGGCCTGACGGAAGTCAATTGGTGGAATACCAAGGTTCCGTCAAACGTCAATGACGTGGAAATTTGGCCGGGCATGAAAGAACCACCCGTCGAACAGACTCGCCCAACCGAAATGGTGGTCTGCTTACTGCACTATTCTGTCGGCGCCTTCTGGAGGCGGAAGCTCTTGGAAGCGGGCACCCCCGAGGAAGATCTCAACCGGGCTATGCAACGCTGGGTGGCGACCAAGACATTGGCCGAAAAAGATGCGTTTGTCGATGAATTCCAGGCTAATTTGGAAGAAAAGGTGCTGAGATATTGTGATCCTTCTATCCCGCTCGAAATGATGGCTTTGATCTATGGGCGTTCCATGTGCAAGAGCATCAGATTCATGTCGCATCATCCTCGGCGCTACGCGAATCAAGAGGATATTCCTGACAGCGAACGCCGACTTCTGTGGAAGACGAGTATGGCACTGATGGAGGCCGACAATCTTGTGCATTCTCATCGCTCCCTTCAGAGATTCAGTTGGCACATTGATGCAGGGTTCGCGTGGCATTCCTTTATATTTGCCTTGGGAGAGCTCATTGCAAGGCCAACCGGCGAAGGGAGGGACGAGGCGTGGATCCAGATTGAGGATGTATTCAAGAACCATCCCGCGTAAGTTGTCTCTCCTCCCCAAGCATGCTCTTGTGATCCACTGTCTTGTGTATTCGTGCCCCTAGTGGAGTTGCTAGCCGTCCACCTATACGTCTTTGCCTGAAGTTCAAGGCTGACCTCCACGTGCTCTTGAAGATTCGTTTCCGACCAAAAGAAGCCGCTTCACATCGCGATCGGCAATTTATGCTTGAAGGCGTGGCGAGCTCGTCAAAAGGCGCAAGAGGAGGACCCTCAAGGCTTGCAGTGGCTCGATACGCCGCAATTCATTCTACAGCTTCGCAAACAGCGAGAGGTTCAAGAAGGGAAGAGATATAACAGGCGATCTGCAGCACTGAACCCGACTCCTACTCTTCAACCCGAAGATGCCAACCTAGAAAGAGAGTCGCAGCCACCAGATAGTTCGACCGCAGAACCCATGACGAGCATCCAGCAATTTGAACAGCCAGTTGGTAGCTTAGACCCTACATTTTCGCCACACGACTTCTCGATCATGGACAACATAGCTATGGATTGGCAACGATGGGATACCCTCCTCAATGACTTTGAACTACTTACCCAGCCAAGTACCATGAATCCTGGCCATCTGCAACATCTTGGACAGTATGGTCAACAAGGGTATTCATGGCCGCTGTCGCAAATTCAAGACAACCAATGAGGCAAAGGAGACCTGAGTTGGGCGAGGCCGATGGCCACCTCCGGCGCGTGAGATACATGGAAGGCAGCTGGCATCAAGATGTTTCCTATCGAGATTCAGAGGTCGGGATCCTACCACATACACCGTTATGTTATCATCAGCACGAGCCCGGTGACAACTTAGATTTCTGCATCTGCCAACGTGCAAAACTTGGTTAGAAGACTCGATGTACTAAGCTGGGATGGGCTCGGTCGAGCGATGTGAAGCACATGAGAGTGGGAACGAAAAACGAAGTACAAGACTGTCAACTGTGATCACCACCGTGACCGCATCGATAGGCACGCTCTAGCACATGCGTGATCCAGAGTATGGCCGAGACAGAGCGAGTCGAGCCCGACACGGAGTCTTACTCCTTAGCCACCTCTGTCACTTCACCCAGGATCTCCATCTTCTTGTCCTTTCCCAAAGCCAAAGCATCCACAATTCCTTCTCTATCTTCTGGCGCCACGCCCATGATGGCCCTCAGTTTGGGCGCCTCGCTGTGGACCTCTCCGTCCAGATTCTCATCAATCTCCTCCAGCGTCCGGCCACTGGTCTCGACCCAGAACACCAAGACCACCACCAGCTCAAGAACGTCCCACGCTCCGTTGATCATGTACGTCTTCCATCCAATAGCTTGGAGCGCAAAGGGAAAGGAAAAGGTCACCATTAAACCCACACCGTTTACGAGAAAAGTGTAAATCCCCATACCGAGCGAGCGGAGGCCGTAGTTGAGGACTTCCGGAGGGTAGAGGACAGTAAGAGGGGTCCAGCCAAAACTGTACGCGCCCTGGAAGAGGAAGATTGTGGCGACTGTCCCATAGATACCGGAGTTGTTCGTTGAGTTGCCATACACTTTGGTCAGCCCGCCCACAAGGAAGATGAAGATGGTCAACAGCGCTGTGGAAATGGCGGCCAGAGCCTTGCGACCCAACCTGTCAGCCATGGCAGTGCCCACGAGGGAAACCACCAGACACCATGCGTTGAGAATGATGTTGATCTCCAGCTGTGTGGTCGAGTCGGTGACTCCGGCCTGCGTGAGCATGGTCCCGAAATAATATGAGATGATGTTGTTTCCGGAGAGCATGGAGAAGACGGCGACGGTGCAGACCAAGAAGATGCGCCTGCGTGTGGATGAGCTGTTGGCGAACTGTTTCACGAAAGAAGGTTTCTCCAAAGACTTTTCGTATGCCAGGGTGTCTGCGATCTGGCGGAACTGAACAGTTACAGCTGGATCATCGATATTCCCGTTTGAATGGGTCTGGGCCAATGCCAGAAGAGCTTCTTCGCCGCGGCCCTGGTCTTGCAGCCAGCGAGGCGACTCTGGCGTGAAAGGAATCAGGACGATGCAGAGAACACTGAAGAGGCCTTGCAGCGCCGACGGAAGACGCCAGGCCCAGGTGGAATCCATCTTTGCGGTGCCGTAGGTGACGCCCGCGGCGATCAGACCGCCTGTATGTTCGTCAGATCATCCATTGTCCCAGTCACTGATGAGAGACAGGAGGCGAACGATGACTTACCAACATACCAAAAGTCATACAGAAGGGCCAACGAGACAGCTCGCAGCTTTACAGGGACGGTCTCCGACAAGTACACAGGCGCAGCGATGGACGAGGCGCCAGTACCGAAGCCGATGATGATCCTCGCGATCACAAACATGGCAATATTCTGAGCAGCCGTCTGGAGGACGACACCGACAATGGTGGAGACGGCACCGAAGAACAGCGCCCACTTGCGACCGACCCAGTCGGGGACTTTCGCGTACCCGATGCCTGCTATTGCGCTGCCCATCCACACTGACGCCGTGTTGAGCGCCAAAGTGGCCGTGGTCAAGGTGAAGTAGTCGGTGTACGAGGGGAGGATGTTGAGTCCATTCATCATGGAACCATCAAAGCCGAGAGTCTGGGGCGCCGCCTGTGTCAGTCTATGGTTGATTACATAGTGCTGGACTGCACCAAGTCTACAATCCAGGTATGTACTCACCGTGGATGTCACACACGATGTGAGGACCAGGATAGTGCAGGCGAGCCACGATCGGCGAGGCACCCATGCCGGGAGTTCCCAAGGCATTGGCGACATTGTGACTTGAGGATCAGGAACTTGTTTGCGAGGACTGTTGTCTCTTGTTGAGAGGCCGACGTCGTTATCTGTGTTGTGTCTGTTGATGACCGAGGACCCGCTCCATTATATATGCATATTTCATATCTCTGCCTGGGATAGAGACGGCACATGGCTTGCGAATGCTTGAGCCCGCCACACCAGGTGCTTAACCACCCGTTATCGCAGATGCTAAGCTTTGGTGAAGACATGGAGGAGGAGGAACCCGCCCGTGTGGGACGGATAGTGCGGCGAATCTTCCTCTCAAACCGCCTGGAGGCCTGGCTTTGGCCCTGTCATCCCGTTGTTTTGGGTTTGCGTTATCTGGAGAAGGACGTTCCAAGTCGTGGTACGGGACGAGGCTGGCATGTTGACCCTCGGCATGCCCCTTGGCTCGATTGCCGTGGAGCAGTCAGAACGGCAATGTCCGCCTGATGGTGTCGAAGCAACGGATATGGTAGCACAGTCTCCCGCTGGATGAGCCCTGGTCGGTGAGTGAAGGTTTCCGCGTGAACGGATTGACGGAAATCTCACACTGACCAAGTGCAGGTTGAGTGTCGCCCTGGAGAAGTACATCCTGGAGGTCTATTGAGTCTCGAACCCTGTGCTGTCCCGTGTGGGCGTACATGTCCGAGGAACGCGTGTTGTGTCCTGGTCAAGTGGTTATCTTGGACTATTAATCTTGGGGATCTTGGACGCAGGAAAGAAGGGGAAAAGACGATACGGGAGTCGTAGGAACACAGGATAATACCCAGACAAAAAAACCGCCCAAAAAAAGCAAAATGCCAGGAAAACTATTGAGTTGGCCGGACTGGCCCGAGTTCACGGCGGCCAAAGGAGAGCCTGGCGATGACCTGGTGGGATACAAGAAAGCCATTGTTGACAAGTACGGCAAGGACAACATCGTCAAGAGCTGGCTCAAGGTCTGCAAGGAGCTCGAATCAGTCACCAGCTGCATCGCCGACCAGGGCACCGCGGTCATCCCTGAGGTCCAGTTCGACGAGGTATTCGACCTGACGCCCGAGAAGAAGCAGACTCTGAAAGATGTCGGATGCTTTGTTGTCCGGAATGTCTTCACCCGCGAGGAAGCAGACAAATGGTTCACGGACCTGAAGGAGTATGTTGCGGCTAATCGGTCGCAGATTGGAGGTACGTATCCCATCTGAAAGCACCAGATATATACCTACTGGACCATGAACGGATGATCACCTTCGTGTGCATGGCTGATGGATCTCCAGGCTGGCCCAAGGAGACGCCCTTCATCCTCAATGTGTACTACTCGCCTACACAAATAGCCGCAAGGTCACATCCCAACCAGCTCAAACTCAGTGAGGAGCTCAATTCGTGGTGGCACGACCAGGACGGAACCTATTCTCCAGCGCCGCTGTCCTACGCCGACGCAGTGCGCATTCGACCACCAGGGATCCCGTTCCGCGGTCTCGGTCCTCATATCGACGCAGGCAGTCTTTGTCGATGGGCCGATCCCACATATCAGTCCGTCTACGCGGCTGTCTTCTCTGGGAACCCCGAAGCACTGGACAACTACGACTTGACGGCGCGCAAGGCGGCCAACCAAGCCATGTTCGCTGGCGGCGCCCACTCGCGGGTCTTTCGGAGCTTCCAGGGGTGGACGGCGCTGACTTCAGCCGGGCTCGGGGAGGGCAGCCTGATGCTGTACCCCAACGTCAAGTGGACGATCGCGTACCTGATGCTGCGGCCGTTCTTCCAACCGCCAGACTCTGACAGAGAGGAGGACATGATGGACGCGACCAAGTGGACATTTGATCCCGACAGCCCGTGGTTCCCCGGCACATTCCGGAGTGACAGCCAGCTGCTGAGCCCGACGTCGCACCCGCACCTGCGCATCCGCGAGTGCATGGTGGGGATCCCGCGCATGGAAGCCGGCGACACGGTGTGGTGGCACGCCGACATGTGCCACGCGGTCGAGGTGGAGCACAACGGCGACCACGACGCCAGCGTCGCTTACATCGCCGCCACGCCCAGCACCGACGAGAACAAGCGATACATCAAGCGGCAGCTCGAGGACTTTCTGAACGGTCTTCCGCCCGAGGATTTTCGGAGGGGGCCCGGTGAGAGGGGCTTTCAGTTGTTCCTGGGTGAAAAGGGCCTGTTGGGCGGCGACGCCGGTAGGAGGGCTATGGGGTTTGATCTTCTTACCTGAGATCTGACCTCCTCCTCCTCCTCCTCCTAGCTCTCCATCCATCGGACTCTCTCTCTATCCATGTTGTTGAAGTTATTCAACGTCGCCGAGCAAAAAAGAAATCCATCTTGTCATGTCACACCGCGTTTAAAGCCAGTGGGTGTGAGAGAGAGATGTTGAAAAAAGAGGATATATGGAAATGACAGATTGACTATTCATTTCGGTTCTACACGGGATGGTCGAGTGAAGCAAAATGCCTATAGTACCTACATACCTACGTTACAAGTCTATCCCAGCAGATCTCCACGAGTAGTCCTTACCCTGTACAGTCCACGTCATGGGTTGTGAACTAATTACCCAGTTAGTGAGGCTGCGCCTGTCAAAACCTTCTACAACCATGTAAAATGTGTATACAAGTACAACCGACAAAGGAACTACTTCTACGAGGTGGTACTCGTAAGTGCTGATTTACCTCGTATGTTGTGTCGTGTATGCTCTTAGTATACATACATATTGCAAGACTCGGTCCTACTCGTTGTAGTAATGTTCTCGGTCCAGGGGTTTCGTACGAGGTTGTCTATCCTTTTGTTTACTTTGTTTACTTTTGTGTTTGTTTATTGTTGTTGATCCATCATCCCCTTGGGGGAACCCCTTGTTTCATGTCTCCTTTCCCTCCCTCCCCTTTCATTTCCTTTTCTTTTTTTCAAGGTTCGTGAGTGTTTACCCTGGTATCGTCCTCTGAGTATTTCATTCATGTCTCTCGATTATTGAGACCCAAACACGCACGGACTTGACTTGAATCGACTTGACCAAAGAACCAACAACAGATAACACACTTTACTTAGGATACTGGGTATAGATGTATATTTCGCAAGTGATTGCTAAGGGGGGGGGTATCTTTTTGATGGTAGTGATTCGTGTAGCCCTCGTACATATTTACCCGCACATGTACAAGAGAGAGATTCTAAATACATATGATATGACTCATGCATGGATGGATGGATGGATGGATGGAGGTAGGTAGGTAGTAGTGACCCAGGGAGAGTACTCGGTAATGAGGGTAACAAAAAAAAAGAGCCATGTGTCATATTCTGTGTTTTAACGTCAAATTCATCATTTCCTTTTCCCCACGGAGAAACAAAAAAAAAAGAAAAAATAACCATTTCAACTCTTGTCGCATTGAAAATGCGTAAATCCTTTCTTTCTGGCTAGATGATATTCGCAATGGTCATTCGCGCTCGGTTCGGGTCTGGGGTCGTTTGGGTCGAGCTGCTGCTGCCGATTGGGGGCAGGGTTGGGCCTGATGTTCCCGGGCCTGGTCCGTTGGGCAGAGGGGACACAGGCAAAGAAGGAGGTGGTGGTTGAGGCGGGATTTGGTTTGGATTTTGTGGGTAGTGCTGTCTCTCGGAAAGCTGTTGGAGATATCGAGCCGATTGCTCAATATGTTGCCAACCGCCCCAGTCGTGTTGCTCTTCCTCAGACAACATATTGTCCCACGACGGCGACTGAGCCCCCGATGAGTGAGGGTCATGCTCAATGAACTGGTGCCTGGGTCTACCGTGCTTTTGACGACGACTGAGGTGCGTGCCTGTCTCGGCGTTGCCCCATACCCAGCTATTGGTACTGGCCTGTAGATCTGCAGAGAGGTAGACCAGCAATTCCTCATCATGGTCAATGTCCATGCTGCTGGGCTGTTCGATCCTCTCAATCAGACATCGCACGAAGAAAGACAAGTGTCTCCCGCAGCAGATGTTGATGCTTCGGGCGTCATTGATCGTAGCGGCCGCTCTCAAGATGAGGAAAAAACTGTCATACACTTGTCGGAACAGCAAGAAGAGCATGCACCGCCAAAAATGGGTGCACAGCATGGTGGTTGCAGAGAGAACAAACCGCTGCTCCCATTCATGCGACTGAACGTGTGGGATCATGCACCGGGACAGAATGGTTGCGGTATCGCGACAAGCATGAAGACACTGCTCAATGGCTTGAGCTCTTTGCTCGGATGAGCATGATGGGGACAAATTATGGCGATGGAGCATTAATCGTGTATTTTGAAAAGTGATTAGAGGAGCCATGATACATGGATCCAGAGGAGCGGTCGAAGAGAGGTGTAGTGGCCGGGGAAACAAAACCAGACACTCCCCCAGGTGACTCTCAAACTTGGCCAGCGTCTCACTGGTGATGCAGAGAGAACGAAAAGTCTTCGCTAGGGGCGCCATCAGCCGTGCTATGTGGACATGGGCCAGCAGTAATTTAGGAGCCAGCGGAGTATGCGTATGGTCGGACATGACGCGCTCTTCGTCGAGGACTTCAGGATACTCGGTGTCGCACTCGTCGTCGTTGATCAGCATCGGCTTTCCGAGTTCGAGAGCAAGGATCCTGTCCCTTGGTTAGTAGAGAAGAAGAAAACCATACCAAAATGATCAGAGGCTTACCGGTCCCAGACGTAGAACGAATACCATATGCGCTTGCGCATTTCGCCCTCAATCGGTGACCATTGACCCCCTTGGACGTGCAACCCGAGATCCTGAACAATGCGGATTGCAGAGCCGAGCCATATCCAACTGGCCGATTTCCGGTTCATCTCGACCAGCGCAATGCTTGCAAGAAATGCTACAATGGCCTGATTTGTAGACACATCATCTTCCCAGAAATTGATGGTAGATATTGCCCTGGTCAGGTATTCCTGCGCCTCTGGCACCCGCGCCCGGTCATGCGTCGCCAGGGCACCGCATGCGAGTACGGCGTATAGAGTGGCAATCCAGTCGGTGGGGAGTAATTGCACATTGCCTCGTTCCAGTGCTGCCGCAAAGTTGCGCTGAAACTTGGGCCAGTAGAGGACGGGGAATAGACGGTGGATGTATTCATGGTAGTAGTGGAGTAGATTTTCGGCCACGGCTTGCGAAGGCAAACCCTGCAGGTCCGAAATTCGAGTTTGTGTGGTATGCGATCGAGGCTGGATACCCGTGACGGGGGGTTTCAACAATCCGCGACCAACATCATTCAACTGCGTTCTGGCATTTGTGAGATCCTGAGGTGCTCTTGCTTTCAACATCCTCCGTGGCGATTTGCCAATCGACGGAAACTCGGCGAAGACCGCGGAGGCAGATTCGGGCCGGAGGTCACTGGAGAGATCAGAGTTGCGCTCGACCGAATGATAGCGCTCGAGCTGCTGTCGGGCTTCCAATAGTTGTCGCTCCAGGTCCTGTACGAGCCTGAGATGATCAGAAACTGTGCCATGGGACATCTAGATCAGGCCAAAAGACTCACTTGATCGAAGACATGCGCCGGTTTGTGTCCTTGGTAAATTGGCAACGGACGTTGCGACTCGAACACTCGGTACAACTCGACGTCTCAGTCGCATCACACTTGGGCACGCTATCAGCGTAACGACAACAGGGATGGCTTCGGGTTTCCACTGACCTTGACCTTGCGCTCCCGGCATGCATCACAGCTCGGGTCTTTTCTTCTTTGTCTGTATGCTCTTTTCGGATTGTGCATCATCATCGCGGAAATCTGACCAGGAGATGGGGTGCTCGCCGTTCCACTGCCTGGCCGTAAATTGTCCCCCGTGCGATACACTCCTTCATTCGGAGAGAGGGGTCCCATGTCGTGAGGACCATAGAAGGTCGACATCATCGGCGGTCCTGACACAAACAATCCGGTTCCAGGATGCCGCGGCGGCGCGGGCCTTGGATGTGGCGTTGGATCCAGCCCATGGGCGGTGATATATGGTCCTGAGGGGTGGGCAGACGTTGATTCGCAGACCGGCAAAGACTCGTTCATGGTCTCAAGTCGCATCGACAGTCGCCAGGCATCGCAGGTGTCCGGGGGCAGTGCTTTATGTCATCTACTCAAATCCGAGATCTCTCGTTGGATTTCGAGACATGCCCGCCACTTTCCGTACCCGCATCCAGAAGCAACAGCAGCGTGCAGGACCGTCAATCCATAACAAACAAACAAAGAGGCGCTCTTTCTCTCTCGATTCAATGGAGACCCCGATCAGGCGTCTTTTGTTCTTCGACAGGTTACTGCAACGACAGAAGCGAGATGCAGGAATGGAGACAAGGTAAAAATGTCCGACCTTGGCCTACTGGTCCACTGAGGGATGGCGAGTTACTGCGAAGCGAGTGGTCGCCACTTTCTCCGTCAGGTCAGGTCTGCCGAAATTGTGGCTAGGACAAGTAGGTAGAGAGGGCTGCCAACGGACAGAGGGAACCTGATGTCTTGAGGGCGCGACTGTGGTCTCGCGATGGCCATGCGCCTTTTCCCACTGATCTGTCGATCGGCAACCAGCGAAATTTGGGGCCAGATCGTCAAAACCTCTAAGCAAGGACAAGTATAGATTGGGGAGGGGATAAGGGAACCACTGCAGCTTAGCCCGCTCAAGGCCCGTTAAGGGGTGTGAGAGATGGTGGTCCACGAGCGGCGCACGAGGGTGAACTGCCGGTGCGCGTGGCGTTGGGATGCGTGCCAGAGAAAAATGGAAGGGGTCCCACTGGGAAAAGATCAAGGATCCAACAAGCCAGACAGGTGGATGAGGGCCCTCTGACCGCAGACCTTGACTTGATGCTGGGGCACATCAGCGGAAAGCCAAAAACCACGTCTGAGTGGGAGCAGATTCGGATTGATGCGCAACCCTGAAAAAGCTAGGGCCTCCTAGGAGCCTCCCCGGTTCTAGCAGCCGAAGTGAAAGAAGCTAGCCACAACGTTCTCAACAGCCGAATGAGGCATGACCGGCATTCGGCTTGCCGCCTAGTTGATTTGCGCCAAAAACACCACTGGAGCCATTCTCGAAAAGAGTTCCCCTGTTCGAGGACGTGGCCCGGGAGGACCCATGACAAGTGTTTGACCCATAACCAAGCCACAGTTCGGATTGTCTGGGCTGAGAACATCCCGGAACTTTGACGTCTAGATGATACGTAGTAGACATTTGGATACATCTTCTCTAAAGGCCAAGTTGGGCCTTTCAAGCAACGAGTTCGACCGAGTTGAGGAGTCCCAGGAGGCTATCTCCCCTATGATAAGACCATGGTGTCATACTCGTGGCATCAATGGTTGCGACCGAGATCACCGGTTCTTCAGCCATCATGACGGTGGTGACGGTGGTGACGGCGCCCATGTTGCTGACATTGACGGACTCCCTTGACTACCTGTGTGGCGGGCCCCTTGTGGAGGCGGACCGAGGGCGATCATAGGCCTTTGGCTTCTGTCGCTGGGTAGCTCTAAGCGGCCCCATGTACGAGTATGTGTAGGCAGGGCAGATCAGAAACAAATGGGCGATCCACGTACCTCATCCGGACTCGGTTCGAGCTGCTCTGATTCACAGGCCCTGATCCCTGCTCATCTATTGAACTTCATCTGCGGCGAAATACTCGTTCTAGAAGGCTTTCACTGTGCCTGAAACATCCGACCACCCCATTTCGGTCATGATTGTAGACCAAACGAGACATTTTTCGAGTGAAGATCCAGTGCGCTTGTTCGGGCATACGGAGAAAACACCGGCCACTTGCAGCATTTCTCTTACATGTGTGTGGTTCCATATGAAAGGGGAGAGGAGAGCGCCAACATGTTCTGAAAGCCTCCCTCCTTCTTTGAAACGCTCAATCTTCATACTGAGACTTTGGCGCACAGGGCGGTAAACAAGACCAAAGTGGAACATACTGGTGGTCCACACGTGAAGCGCATGATTTCTGGGGCTGAGGATGGATCGACTCGTATCTTTCTGCCTTGTCGTCCAGTGCTGCATGGCTTTCCAATTTTGCGTTTCTGGGTGTGATCATTCTGCCCCATTTCTTCCGACTGGTATCAATCAGATGAACAATCTAAACGTGAGAATGCGACAGGGATACGTCGGGGGAAGTCGAACTCGAGCTGTCACCCTTAGCCAGCCAGCCATCAACCAGGGGTGGACTCTGCGTCGTCGATCATGGGGCTTCTGGTAGTTCGAAAGCAGGGGGCCCCTTCGCTGGGAGTGATTTAGTCCCCAAAGCCGAACATTGGCCAATCCCAGAGTCGTCAACCTCATCTCTGTTGACTACGAAGTTGATTCCCCCATGACAAGACTTGATCCAGTGCTCATTTTCCTTCTAGTGCCCGCGTCTCTGCGACGTGACGAATTAGTTGAAAGCTAAAGCTGCATATTCGAAAGCCCCCGAGAACAAGCTGTTGCAGATGCAAGATTCCAGGTGGGGTGAGGATACCTCCGTAGTTAACCTCACGGCGACTTTGGTCTCTTCTCGAAGGACGGGGTGGCCAGTCACCTTGCAGGACATGATACTAAGTAAAAGTGAGAGGAGAAACGGATCACTTACGGAAAACAGGATCTGAGGATCCACAGGTACGGAGTACCTTTTCGAGTCGTGGCGCTGCCAGAAGTTGGGAATAATGGAGAGCTGATCCTTGGTCCCAAGTGTTTGTGGCGTTCAACCCCGTCATCTTTGTCTGTTTCCATTGACGTGCAGAATTAGGCCCGAGCCCTAACGGAATTGGACAGAGTCCGTAGGGTAATATCGCCAAATATTTTACCGTGTGAGCAATGATGTGCAGCGGTGACCTCGCCCAAATTGATGGGCAGGACCATCCAAAAGCCCGACCGTTTTCCTCTTCTGTTTAGGATCGCGCAAGCCACTGTCGCTCACCCCTCGGTTTGGTGGCGCAGAAGACAACCAGAGAATGATGAAAACGGCCAATAGTTCCAGAAGACTGGTTTCTGGCACTAGCGTGCAGCTCTGAGGAGACCTGGAACTCAGATTAAACGCCAGGGATCCAGTAAACCAGGGTTGCTTGGGAGCAAGGAGATACGCCATCCAGTCGGTTGCAAGGACGGCTGGCAAGCCGTTGGGACGGAACTTAGCCTCCCTCGGATCTACACGACCCTCAAACAGGATCGACTTTGCAGCTCGCAAGCAATGCAACAAGGTGGGAATTTCCCCTGGCATCGCAGTCCCGCATTCGTGCAGCCTAGGATCAGACATGCTCGCCATTCCCTAGTAGTAGTTGTTTGGAAACCCACCACTCTTTCCGTCTACTCTGTGAAACATCGTGTTTAGAGAGTCCCAGCATTACAAGTATGGATCTTGAAAATATGGTGCAACCTCATGGGTGCGGCGGCCAGCACTCGAAAAGTCGAAGCGACAACGAGCGACATTGCATCCTTCCTTGGTCTTCAATAGATTCTCCAACTAGTTTCACAACTGGATTGAATCTGTGCAAAGGTTCCATAGGCGCGACCGGATTTGGTAGATCCAATCTGCTGCTCATGTGTTGGAATGGTTAGGAAAAGATCTTAATTTTACCACATCGCCCGATCTATTCCTTATGCTGCTCGAGACCTGGTTATGATAATTGTCCGCGACGAGATTATTGGCCCATGGTTGCAGTGGCACGAAGTGGCTATTGGATTTGTGTTCCGAGTAGGGCCTTTGGTGGCATTTGTCATAGGGATACCCAGGCAGCCCAGGACTGGTCCCATTACGCCGAGGATGGGGGGAGAGGATCGACAAGCTGCAGCAAGCAAGCGGCGGATTGTCTCCTCCCCCGTCATCTGACCCAAACACTATGACTCAGTTAAAGTGATTTGGATAACGCGTCAGACCAGCCCAGATACACCCCATGTTTGGGCGATCCTAAGAAGCTACCGCTTCGAACTTCCTGGTCGATGCAGGATGTTTGTATACACCCACATTGGGGGCACTGTCAAGAGTCGCTATTGAGTTGCTTGGGTGCGGGGGCACGATTAGATTCTGAGATATATGGGGAGTCGGAAGGTGGGAAACTCTGTAAAAGATGGTCGTTCCCAGCGAGGAGACGACGCGGCGACTCGCCGAAAGTTAAGATGCTGCAAGGCACCATTTGCGACAAGCCCTGGCAGAGGGTAGGGCGGGAGGCGTTTTGCTGCATACCTCCTCAACTCTCTAGCTCGACTCTCTCTGAAAAGAGGTCGCAAAAGGTAGTTGACATGTAAGACGCCGTGGAGAGGGTTAGAACTATGACCTTTTGGTCCGATGATTGCCAATTTAGTTTTCTACTGACGTTGAGGGCCGTCAATCTCCAGGGTTCTGAGTGGTGTCAACCAGGTGTGCTCCGCCTCCAGTTCCTAGGGTATTTTGCTGCCTGTCAGAGGCCAAGCTTCGATCAACAACCTTAACCAGGAAAGATGCCCCGGGATGCCAGAATCGCCGCCAGGGTTCCCTCGCAACCGGCAACCCTGCCGAAAATTGGCGAAGGGCGGTGATCGATCTCGAGGTGTTTCTCTCAGTGAACACAAGTTCCGAGGGGCCTAAGCGACGATCTTGGTGCAGCAGGAGGCCTTTAGTAACAGGTTCCAGGTTCTTGCAATGGTGCAGATGGTCGATGAGGCTCTAAAGTGCCGAATTCCAGTGACGGGAAGGAATTGTACCGATTTGTTTGCCCAGGTCTGGTCCCCGACCCAATGACACGTAGGGGCTCAGGATACCGATCCTTGCATGTCGGGGACCTCTTTTTTAACAACTTTCTAGAACATTGACCCCAACGAGGAAGTGAGGGACCAGGGCCAGTTCAAGATTTTGGGTCCCACCTCTCCATTATCTGATCGACGACGGCCGCGAAGCCTTCCATTTCCTCTTCGGCTGTTGTTCCAGAGAAATCCATGCTGCAGCCCACATACACTGGCTGTTTCATCTTCCGCGCAAGTATCTTGGCCATTCTAGTGGCATAGTCAATGTTGGAGCCCGAGGTTGCGAGAGGCGTGCTGATCACATTCCGGTCGTCTCTAATCTAGAACTCTATTAGGAGGCTGTAACAAACCCTCAACACGTCAATTTTACGTACGGCAGGCATTGCGTAGACAAAACTTCCCATGGGCGGTAGAGCGCTCTCAGTGTGGCCAATGTCGGTGGTGGTCAAAAGGACCATGCTGCAATTTCCTATGAAACTCAGGTGTGCATGGAAGTTGAGATGAGGGTGCCGGGGCACGGGGAATGAGATGTGGACAGGTTTGAAGGAGGGTTCCATGGCAGCTTGGGAGCCTTGAAGGCCCGACGGTGGTGGGCTGGAAATTGGAGTTTTAGCTATGAGAGAGATTGACGAACAGGTCGGCAATGTAACTGAGGGGAGGGATCATTTCACGGGGGGACAGCAGCACAGCTTGTGTGAAGTTGAATACAACGAGGAGTGAGTGATTGAGTTGTATTTGAGAGTTGAGAGTTGAGAGAATGGGAGATGGAGAGTCGCGTGTGAATATCGTTATCTGGCTTGGCACCGCCTGCGACTTCAACCCCAATGCGCAGTTCCAGTCTTTCTGCTGTAGCAATGTAAGCCGTCAACATTCCCCAAAGCTCTGTTCAACAGCAATAGTCTACTGCGCCCGTCGCTGCCAGAACCTCTCCAGGAATGGCTACAGTCCAAAACACCCAGGATGCCCCCTTACCACAACCCAGCCCACTGTTTGACGACGCAGGTCCTTTGGCTGACCCTCAAGAACGGCGAGTCATTTTCGCTGCCCTGGATTCCTTCCGGTAAGTGGACTAGAGCATTTGATGCTCCAAGCGAGTCCTTAGGTGCGCAGATGGCAAGGCCGTATGTGCTGGGTCGTTGTTCGCACTGGTCTCGATGACCGGCTGTTGCAGCTTCATGAAGACGAGGTTCAAGGTGTCATTTACGCAAAGGAACAACCAGCTTCTCAGGCGTTATCTATGCTTCTGTTCTGGCTCTTCGTTTGTTCTCGGCTTCTTCAATACCCTTTTTCCCGTAACTAACCTGGAATATAGCTGACCTAGATTGAAGCCAGTACCGGATTAACTCACACTTCAACACAACCCATCGGAGGAGACAGAATTTCTACGCTCTCCCATCAGCTCAATGGCAAATGCTTGCCGTTCCTCCCTTTTCCATCCGCGACACCCTGAGTGCCGTTGATGATGCGATAGACCATAATGCCGACTTAGCAGAGCAAATCTTTCTGCTGGGGTTAAGTGCATTCGCCCTCCCCGAAAAACCACCCAAAGACTCCGAGATGAACTGGCAAGGGAAGGCCAAACCAAATGACATGGCCAAAGCTCACTCTACCATCCGTCAGTTCTATAGAGATTGGTCCCACGAAGGTTTCACTCGCGAGGTCGAACCGCTCCTCAGCATGATAATCTCAGACCTCGCCGCACATCTCTCCACGACACGAACCGAGAGTCAGCCTCCGTCGCTCCTTTTGCCAGGTGCCGGGCTCGGCCGTGTCCTCTTTGAACTCGCTCTACGAGGCTTCCACGCGACAGGCAATGAAATCTCCTATCACCAATTATTCGCAAGCAATTTCATTCTCAACAGTACCGAAAGGGCCGATCAGTACTCAATCTATCCCTTTGCACATACGTTCACCAACGTCGAATCTCGGGCAAATCAACTCAGATGCTTCACAATCCCAGACATCCATCCTGGTCAAGCCTTCTCTGCTCGGCTCGCTGCCGGTTCAACGGTGGGTGAAATGAACATGACCGCGGGAGACTTCGTTCTCTCCTACTCAACGCCAGAGTCCAGGGAGACGTTCGATGGTTTGGTGTCTTTATTCTTCATCGATACGGCTCCAAACCTCATTCGATATATCGAGACAGTTCGCAATTGCTTGAAGGTTGATGGTGTGTGGATCAACATCGGGCCCCTCTTGTGGCACTTTGACAACCGTGTTCCCGGAGGGAATACAGATGAAGACGAAGACGGCGACGACGGCCAACCGGCTGAAGCTGGAACCAAAACCCAACCCAAACCCGACCTGGAAGACAAAGGCATCGGCGAACCGGGGTCCGTCGAACTCACAGACGAGGAAGTCGTTCAGCTCGTTTCACACCTGGGCTTTGAGGTGCTTTCCCACGAGATCCTCCCTGTAGATTCAGGCTACGTCCAGGACCCGAACAGCTTACTACAGAACCGGTACCGGTGCAGTCACTGGGTCGCGAGGAAGCTCTGATGCACACATCCTCGAGGCCCTTCTAGACTGACCCTCCCTTTCCGAAGCCCCCTTATCTCTGCTTGTACAGTCACAGAGCACCGCCTTTTTGGTATGCGATCGATGTTCAAGAGCTAGATGGGGAATTTCGCACCGAAGGGACAGATACCCAACTCATCCAGCAGCGAGGAATTTCCACCATCTTGAGATGGTCAACCCGAACAGAGGGCCGTGGTAGTGGAATTGATCGGACACCACACACACACAGGCAAAGAGGAGGAGTGTCACCTTTACCCTGCCTCTTAACTTATGGAGCTCGGGGACAAGGGTGCGCCTGGAGGTCGTGTGACAACCCATCCGTCCGGCCGTTGTTGAGATAAGAGGACAGGACTGCATCGACAGGATTGAGTCATCGAGGATCCAGCAATTCTATCCGAGCTCTCTGCCGCATATCACATCTTCTTGAAGTAAAACATCCCGTTGGATTCAAAGGTTAAATCTGATTCGACCCATTTGGTTTATTGTATCTCGCGTCCTCCAAAAAGTGTCATTCCTTTCGCTCATGGATAATATGCAACTCCTGGCTTTTTTCCCCGGCTTAATCTTCACGTCGTGTCAACGTCATTGTGGCCACGACACCATCGTCAACCCTCAGAAGACATGCCATCCTCAAGCTTGTGGTACTTGCTCTGTGATCTTGTCCACATCAACAATCGTCAAAGTGTAGCCTGGCCCATATTGGGACATTCCCAAACTCTCTTCTTTCTGTCCGCGCTGTCGTTGCTTCATGTGTCGTCTGCAACCTTACCAGTCATTAAATCACCCCTTTCTCTTTTCGTTCCTCTCAATTGCCATGCTTCCACTCTTGAAGTTGAGACCGTCCTTGTTGTCCAGGGAATATCCAGACTTCCATCCACGGGTTTATCTGAATCTTGCGCTGCATCTTCCCATCACTTCACCCTGACACACCAATTCGGCATTAAACTCGGACCCATCCAATGTCAGGTAAATATCGAAGTACACTCTGTAGAATGTGCCCTGTGGAGTATCCATTCTTTCAAAGTCCTTTTCGAGGTTCTTTCTTGACAAATCCGAAGTAAGAGTGACTACTTCCTTGATGCGTGGGTCTTTGGTATATTCAGGACTATTATACGGTTAGTTGGACACCACGAAGTAGGGCAAAGACGACGCAGGAAACTTACCAAACATCCTCATCGCATGCATAAAGAATGTCTTCGTACATCAACGTCGCCCCAGGTGCGACTTGTCTGAAAAACGAGACTTTGACCGGCTCACCAATCTTGACTCTCTCGCCCTTCTGAACGAAGATCTGTCTTGTATATTTACACCGATCCTTGCCGTCAAGGCTCGGCACGCGATATTGTTCAGGATGGTGACCTTCTTTGAACGGCTGAAGGGTCGCCATGAGATAATGTCGTCTCGCAACGCGGGAGGTGATGACGCGCTCAGTGATACCTGCCGTGACGGCGCCTTTGACAATCGCAGCCACCGAATCCATGGGTCTGACGACTTTAGATTGGAACTGTGGGGGAACATGCAGCTTGATCTGCTGGAAGAGATACTCGGATGCACCAAACCCACCCACCACAAGAACATTCTGTAACGATCTGTTCTGCGCTTGGATAGCGATAATTTGGTTGCGAACAAGCTCCAGGATTCTGTTGACCACGGGTTCGAAGCATTGAAGGATTTCCTCATTGGTGAACGTCATGTAGCCCTCTTCAATGCCGGCTTCGGGGAACTCAGCCTCGATACCAACATCGACGGCCCATTTCTGACCATTGTTGCGGAAATCTGCCTTTATTCTGTTTTCAAAGTCCATAATGCACTTGGCGTATACTCGGCCGGCGGTTTTCGATCCATCAGGCAACTTCATCTTCCTGATCTTTGCGCGCAAGATATTGGAAAAGTTACGGTTGAGAGCAGTAGAACCGCAGGAGTCGCCGCTTCCGGCCGTACATTCGGCAACAGTGAAGGGAGTCTCTTCTTCGACCTCATATGCAATCAGATCAACGGTGCCACCGCCGCAATCTACGATCAGGACCGCATCATGAATCTTGAGGTTGAGGAGGCCGGTCTTGGAACAGAACATGGCTGCGGCTTCGGGTTCGGTAATGAGCGTTAGTCGGTTGTCGTTCTCATCACGAATGAATCCGGCTTGAATGGCTGCCGCCCTGGTGGCTGCTTTGCCGGCATCGTTCCAAATAGCGGGCACGGTTAGAAAGTATCGGATATTCCGCTCTTCTCTGTTAAAGACCTCACCCAATGTCTTTTGCAGCTGGACTCTCATGGCTTGCCGAAGTTTGAAGAGATAATCAGCTGCCACATCGATTTCGGACTTCCCGGGTGGTAGAGGAGGCAGGTTAATAGGGTCGATGTAAGTGTTGCCTGAAAGCATGAGTTGCAGTTTGAACCATTCGACTTTTTGCACGCCTGGTTTGGGATAGCCTGTGGGAGCTAGGGCGTCCGCAATGTCTGGACCCCAGCCGACAACTTTCTGATATTGGTCATAGTATAGAACGGTGGGAATCTACTCTGGTCAGTCCTACGCCACAAGTTTTTGGCCGAGCTGTCTGCTCCGACCCACCTTTTGTTTTGTTTGATTGCCCGCACCTGGCCATTCTGTTATTATATCTTCTTTTGCTTCCGTGTTCGTCGCGAAGGCGAATGCCACACCCGAGAAAGTGGTGCCCTAAGCAAGAAAGAAGCCAGTCAGTAACCCACGCGATACAATTATCCTGAACAGTGCAAATCTTACAAAATCGATGCCAACAATCAGCTGGGCCTTGCTCCTCCCTGCGCCCTCAACCTCTGCGGGACGAGCACCCGGTGGGTATTGATTAGCCATATGTTGGATGCCCGGTTGTGGACCGATATTCTGATGCCCGTATGCACCGCCATACCCTGGGGGTTGAGGTGGACCCAACTGAGGAGCGCCGCCAACATAAGCACCGGCCCTGGTATCGATGGGAGCAGGGTGGTGAGCCATCTGGTTCTGAGCAGGTGGCATTGGCGACTGAGGACGTCCCTGGACGGTGTTGTACTGGTAGCTGGGAGGACGTCCAGGCGCGCCTGGCTGGTTGGGATTCATGGGCGGCAGGCTGGTTTGCGAGGAGTTTTGAGGAGGGGGAGGAGTCGTGGCGTTCGAGATGGAGCCGTTGGGTGAAGCGACCGATGTGGAAGTGGTCGAAGCGGATTGGATGTTGGCGCTGCTCTTTCGTTTGGAACCGAAGCCTAGAGACTTGAAGCGCGAGCTCATGACATCGACATTGAAGAGCAGAGCGAGGGAAAGAGCGAGTACAGGGAGCCGAGTAGTTTCGTTATAGTTGCAAGGAGTTTTGTTGTTTGGCGGCAGTCAACACGAGGTGATTTGGATTGGTAAGGCAAGACCAAGTCGATGGCTGGACGAAGGAAAGAGCACTGGCTTGGGGGCGATGATGGTACGACGAGGCAACGAGAACCCAACTTCGCAGTCAGTAGTGGCAGTGCTGGGATGTGCAAGATTTGGGAAATGGGGTGTTTTGAGAATGGGACAGACAGCTGAAGAAGAGGTATGCAGCGATAGAAGCAGAGAGGGACGTGCGGCTGCGGCTGTGTTGGATGCGCTGAAGAGGGCGGCTGACTACTAATTACTCCCTAGTAGGTACTAATAGGGCAGACAACATCGCAGCGGCGGCCACGGTGCCCGTAATGATGCGTAATGGTACGGGGGGCAATGGGTACCGAACAGAAGACTAGTGGCTGTCTTCCCATCCTAAATATCAGGCTGCGATACGAAGGATTTCAGTCCCGTTCGCTATATGCCGTCCTTCAGGCAAGTCAGAACTTGATTCACTCACTCGGGTCCCGGGATACTGCAACTCGCCTGAACAACTACAGACTAATCGACTTGCCCCATTGCCATCAGTCGCATATTGCAAGCAGAAGACGCAGAAGATGAAAGAAAAAACAATGAACGCACAAAGGTGGTGGCCAAGATGGGGGGGCTTCTAGCTTGTGCTAAGGGCTAGTGGTGGGCTCTAGTGGCTTTGCAGGGTGGTTCGTCTCGTATTGTCTGATGCCTAATGTATTCGAGGGCTGATTTGGGGCTGAAAAACACTGACTTCTACCAGAACCCAGTCAGACGAACAGATAAAGAGCGGTGAAATCCACTCTTCAGAGGTACGGAGTACTTGTGCCTCCTTGGACACAGTCCTTTTTCAATCTTTTTTTTGAGCTCAGATTTATCCCAAGTGTCGCCGCAATGGCCACACCACCAAGATACCAAGACAGAATGGTAAGATATTACTGGGAAAGACGCAGATACTAAGAGTCGATAGGGCTGACATACCGCCCCCTCCTTCATCTTCCATCAACCACTCAAGGCTTGTCTGCGTCTTCGGCGGCCCAATCCAATCAAACTGGCTCGTTTCAGGCGTTGAACAAATGTGCAGTCCGATAATTTGATCCTCCCGCGCCTCGATGCCTGGCCTGCGTACAAGTACAAGAATGACAACGGTCGCCGTCTCAGATTCATGAGGCTTTGGAACATGTTTGCCTGTGCTATTTCCCCTTTGTTTCAGCCTTCTCCAGCAAGTATCAAACGTTTTAGTCGGCTCATCCTACTGCCCGGTACAATCAAAGAAGAGACATGTGGCTGGTCCGTCCCTGGCAAGGTGCCCCACTGGAAAGAGACGCGGCTCAACCGTCGGACATGGGATTCCATCGGAAGCCGGTTGATCACACAGTTGTGCGCATCGCACGTACGGCTGACAGGAGCTGGCAGGCTGTTGTAGTGCTATTATTGGCTCGATGTTTCCGCGAATGCCAGCATCTGGGGTCGGGAATGTGTTGAACACAACCAAGAGCACAGACACGTGAGTTCCGTATGCGGTATTGAGGTCTGCTCTTTGTCTAGAGAGCCCGTCTTGGTATTGAGCCTCCTACAAGGCCCCTATAAAGTGCTGCCTCTCTAGAGCCATGTGGGAATATATGCATCCCCTTCTGGCATATTCAAGTGAATGCCCAGAATACAGATTTTGCGGTGGCTCGCACGTATTGATGCAAGGGAAACAATTCAGATTCTTTTTAACACAAGGTCTACAACTCGTCCTTGACGCTCTTTGTCGCCGTGGCGCTCGACGTTCCGGATGGGGTCGATGAAGTGTTCGCTTTGGAAGCTTCGCCTCCACTCGTGCTCGAGGATTTGGTCTTCTTGACCTTTCCCTTTCCTGGCTCTTTCTTTCCACTCCCTGTCTTTCCCTTTTTGGGGATCTCTTGCATTTTTATTGTTTTCAGAATAGTATCCGAAACCACTTTCTGTAGTGCTAGCCCCCTGGCCTGCAATTCAGTAACCAGGAAAACTGGATCTTCGTGTAGCCCGAGTTTGTCTTGCAGGGCAAGTTTCTCGTCGAGCCATTCCTTGACCTCATCATACTTCGTTGTCAGAGCTGCAAGATCTTCATTTGTGTATTCGTACGGTTTGATCGGAGGCGGTTCGTCAGTCTCCGGTGCTTCGTCTGTTGACTTGCTGCTATATGGGTCTTCGTCAAGGTCATCGCCATCCATTGGAGACGGGCCTGAAGCACTTGAAGCTGTAGACTCTGCAGCTTCGCTTGCACTCGATGCCGCGTTTTCAGAAGCCTTCTTGATACTTCCTTCTACCATTGTTATCATGCCTTTCAAGTTCTCCAGCCCCTCCTTCAGACTCTTGACAGCATCGGGCCGTTTTGTGGCTTCATCCTGTCGCTTCAAGACGGGGTCGACTAGCGCATGGAGGTTCTTCAGCTTGTCCTCGAAGTCTTGGAGTTTGGCGTCAAGGCCGTCACCGTACAGCCACTCCGAGATGCTCGACAGCTGCTGTTCAAGTTCATTCCGAACTGACGCGCTTGAGGCAGCAATGAAGCCCTCGTCCTCGAGATAGTCCCTGGCTCGGTACGTGAAGGCCTCGAGATTGTTCAAAGCCTCAGCCCGAAGGGCAGCATTCCGATCTGATATATCGAATTGAGTTAGACGCTGCCTGAGGCGAGGTAAAATTGAAGTAGGTGGAGCATTGAGCCCGGTAACAGTTGATCTCAGGGCGATGGGGATTGAGACTGTTGTTGGCGTTGCTTTGCTTGCTTTGGCGACTTTGGTCGCCGAAGAGGAGGACGCGGCTGACTCTGTTAGCGATGGAGAGGCGGATGACATGGTCGATCCAGAGCTTGTGGGATCAGACGCAGGCAATGGTGTTTGAGACTCAGCAGTCTCTCCACTAGCATCTTCGTCTCCAACAACCTTCTGCTCGCTGTCCTTCTTTGAGCCGAAGCCAAACAAGCCTTTGACGTTGTCAATGACGGTTCCGCCTTTGATGCTCTCGGTTTCGCAGCTGACAGACCCTGAAACAACTTCTGGCAATCCATCCACATGGCTCAACCGCATAGTAAAAACGGTGCTTACATTTGCCGGAGCACAACCATGCCTTTCCTTCAGCTCGCCCACTGATTTCGTCAAGTTTGAAGCCCCAACCTCCGTTACAGGAACTTCTAGCTCCTTGACTGCCTGGGTGAAGCGTAAGGTGATATCTTCCAGCGTTTTGATGGGCACTTGCTTCTCAGCTCCAACTTGCGAGGTTGGGTGGAACACTTTCTGTGTCTTTTCCTTGTTCGCGACACTCCATCTCAGGAAAAAGGAGAAGCCAGAAATATCTGTCCCTCGGATGTCTTTGACCCTAAAGCTAGGGCTCAAGGATGCAGCTTTGAAAGCTGCTCCCATTACCGCAGCCTCGTCAGCATTGACATTGGTTTTCAGCTTGGATGGCCCACCAGCCACCTTTTCGAGTTGCTTCTGCACGAAAGGAGTTCTCACTACTCCTCCGTGTAGGATTATTGAGTCTAGATCATCCAGTTGCAGCCCAGCGGACTGCAGAGCCGCTTCGATCGGTGAGCCTACGCGTGAAGCATGGTCTGCGGCGAGTTCTTCGAACCTTTCCCGAGTAAGACTGTACTTGAAGGTGATATCATCGTCATAAAGTCCTTCAAGGGTGGCCGAAGAAACTGCATTGGCGCTGAGGAGCTGACGGACTCGCTCGGCCTCTTTCCAGATTCTCGCCATTGCTTTCCCGTGAGACCTAACTTGGTCACGACTCAGCCCTAGATTTTTCGCACTTGGCGACTCAAGAAACCGGGAGATGATGTCTTCGACAACAACGTCATTCAAAGAATCTCCACCTAGTGAGGCATCGGATCCCACGCCAAGGGCAATAACTTCTTGGACAGTGGAATTCCGCTTTCCAGGACCTTTGATTGTCCTGCCTTGAAACTTGAGCACCGTTGCCGTTGTCGATCCAGCACCCATATCATAGACCAGATGGTACTCTGGCTTAGCACCATCAGTCACGCTGTCGAACGTCCGGTGCGTTGCATAGTTGAGGCCGACGGCGAGCCCATCGCTCACGAGACCTAGAACTCTCAAACCCGCCAGGTCCGCAGCCAACTGAATAGCTCGCTTCTCATCAGCGGTAAAGAACGCAGGATGCGTAATGACCACGTCCGTGACATGTACACCCTTCGCGACCATTGCCTCCGCATTGCTCTTGAGGTTTTTCAACTGCATGGCCAGCAGTTCTTCCACCATGAATATTTCGTCTTCCTTGGTCCCAAAGCTGTGACTCTTGAAGCCCACAGTTCCGCTGTTCTTTTCCGTTCCATTGCCTCTCGGGACGACTTCGAGATTCAAACCAGGATATCGGGTGGCGTAGTTCTTTACAGGGTCCGTAGAGTATTCCAGACCTAGTATACTCTTCAGATTGGGATAGACATCGCTTGGGAATCTCGCGGAAAGAGCTACGGCATCTCCTCCATATAGACGTTCGGGGAAGGCCTTGTCATCCTTTGTCTGAGTTCTGGAAGGTTTGAATGCGAGAGTAGCGGCTTCCCTTCTCTTGGAGTCTTTGGATAGGACAATTTCAATAGGAGATCCAGGTTTGGCAATGGCTCCCTTCAGATATTCTGTCCCCAGATCTATACCCAGGACTGCCGCTGCGGCATACGCGGTCGTGGAGAAAAGGAGGAGAGACAGTGTCAGAACGCTGAGAGTCGATAACTTCCGTCGTCCAGGCGGTGCCATTGTGTAAATGTAGAGATGTTGTGATCCGCACGGGGCGTAATGGTCGGATCTGCAGTAAGTTAACTCAAGGAGAGAAGGATGTGAGAATCGAGGTCTGCGAGTGCATTTCAAGAATAATACGCGGCGACGAATATGAAATACACGGTTCTGAGCGGAGGAACAGTAAGTCCAGTCTATGACACCGTTTTCATTTCTGATGCTCGCATGCTCATCCCCATATTGACCGGCTTGTGAACAAGTTGTCCAGAAAATCGCAGGCACGAGTCATGCTCCTTGAAATACACGAGTCGTGGGGCTACGCTCAACAAAAAAAAACATCGTCTGACAAGAAATAAACGCCACCTCCAACATGGCTGAAGAGCTCTCGAGACTAACCAATCGACCGCCCTATTCAAACCTCAGATTGTAGAATGTCTGAAGAATAGAATTCCCGTAGGCCCTTCTATGTGTAAATACACTCCAGACACCTTTTTGCGACTAAGAGGTTGCCCACGCTGCCCTCGTTGCCCTCGCTGTCCTCGCTGCCCTATCCTATGTATAATGGGTTAACTCGACCCCTCCAAAAAGCTGTCTGTCAGACACAATACGATCAAATTTCTCTCTTTCAGCCTCGACCATATGCATGGTCTTTACCTTCGACCTTCTGTCCCACATTCAATGATATCTTGTACCCTTTAAATTATTGGCACTGTGACTCGAAAATCTCCTATTCATCGTCGAATGATCAAGGCTCACCCGTTTCAGAATGACGTTCTGCACCCACAATGCATGAAATCATAACTCTTCAGCTTGGCAACAAAAGTAACTATCTAGCGACCCATTTCTGGAACGCTCAGGTATCCTTCACTCAGCTGTATCCAGAAACCCTCTAATCTTCCCTTGAAAGGAATCTTATTTCACATATTCTCATGATGAGGTATCTCTGGTCAACCCAGACATTCACTTTCGACCAGGCCTTGGTTCCGATGGATCAGAGACATTCACTCCTCGAACCATAATCTATGACCTGAAGGGTGGGTTTGGCACTCTCCGTAAATTTAATGCATTATATGACATCCAGGATGAGTCTCATCCTCCCCTGGGTCTTTGGTATGCCGTCTACCGAGACGTCACTTGGTTGAAGGAGACTCTAACCACATCTAGGGATGGCAACACCGCGCGACATCTACAACAGCCCATTGAGCCATCTGAGTTCCAAAGGAACCTAGATCTAGGTCTCCCGACTGCTCAACTCCACGCCTCGGATGTGAGGTATTGGTCTGATTTTAACCGAGTCTTCTATCACCCTAGATCCATCGTCCAGCTCCACGAGTACGAATTGAACTCGCAACTGATGCCCTTTGAAAACTGGTCGGCAGGCGGAGACTTGTTTGAAAGCCTGGACAAGGAAGTTGATCTGCTTGATCGTGATGTCAGACCGTTCGTAGAAGAATGCGATCAAGTGCAGGGTTTTCAACTGTTCACTGGGGCGGATGACGCTTGGGGAGGGTTTGCTGCAAAGTATGTGGATAATGTGAGAGACGAGTATGGTAAGACAAGTATCTGGGTCTGGGGGATGGAAGATGGTTCCAGGGCCACCAGGGTATGTCCACACCAGTTCTCAGCAGACAGATTGCTCAGTGGGACCAGGAAAAACGATCGTTGAGGGCGTGCAATGCCGCGAGAACCCTTCAGTCAACTGGTCAGCAAGCATCAGCATACATCCGACTTGCTACTCCTCCGGCAGTCCTCCCTCGGTACGTACACCTCGACAATGGATCTGACTGGATGAATACTGCACTCCTCTGTGCGGGCGTCGAATCTGTTACACTTCCGACAAGGCTCCATGCCGAAGTAGGGAAAAGAGGCTCGTTGGGTCTACTCGAGGACACTTTGAATACCAACGGAGTTCAAAATGTGTTTGAGCTTCATGCAAGCGTCCCGAGTACAAATGTTGGTGCAAGCCATTCTTCCAACGGAGTTGCAATGGTGCAAGGGAATGGGCATGAAGGAAATCAAAGTGCCAATGTGCCAGAGCCATCAGATTTCGACCTGGACTACAGCCCAAGTCTCAGCAAGCCGTCAGCCAGGAGGTCTAATCACGTTTTTGCCCAGGTGGAATGTGAGCGTGACCACCTCGAGTCAGGCACTCGACCGTTGACCCTTAACCCGGAGGAGCGGCTTCGAAGAAGACTGAACGAGGAGAGCGTGGTAGAGCTGTGAGTCGATCCCCTCGCATGTTTCCCCCGGCCGCGCAAAGCGCATACTATGCCACAAAGAAGAGAAAGCGACAACAAAAGACTGATACACGCTCAGATTTCAGACCAGCCTCCAATTTCCTCTGCTCGACACATTTCCCGACACACTCTTCGAGACCAGTCGACGGCCCAGCGGGTTGGACGTTTCGGCAGCCTTGGGATGCAATTCTAGAATGAAGAGCAGGATTCTTGACCTCAGGGACCTGACTGCCCGCCTAATGCCACGGGAAGAACGGGAGGCACACTACAACGACTTGACACAAATGGCCCAGAATTACGGCATTGGGTGGGAGTCAGGATCAGATTCTGGAATCGACGATGAGTGAAGGTCTGCTGTGACACAAGAGCTACGGGAATACGAGTGACCCATCAGTTAGAAAGATGCATGGAATAGCCCAGTCTGGGACATTGTTGCCGAAGTCGAATGTGGTCGAAGTTCCGTTCCCGAAACAGCAAAGTTTGTTTATCAGTATAAGCCAATGATATACATCAGGTTTGTGGGCCACCAGGCGCATGATGTGATTCCTTTCCCCAACCATACCAAGTATCTAGTGCCTGTGGCCAGCCATACTAGGACATGCCAACCTGAAGGCCGGTCCGGATTTGTGTGGAACTTTTTGCAGGAAAGCTACGGCGAGGTCGAGCAAAGCTCATAGCGAGACAAAAGCACGTCAATTCCGTCATACCATGTCGAGCTGACGGAAAAGATCTGCTAGTTCCAACGCCTATCGTCTAGCTTCTGCCTATCAGTGCCCAACAAGGTTCTGAGCGGAAGCCAATCGATAGATATACGGAGTAGTACGAGGAGAGCCCGGCTCAACGCCCGGCTGGTGCTATGGGAGCAAGATAGACAGTGACAAAGTACGAGATACCTCGTTGCTGAAAGGGTCTGAATGAGCATGCGAGGGAGATCCAAAAGGAACGATACGGTTGGCACTGAGGCAGGTACATGGAGTCAGCGGGAGGAAAAAGTCTGACAGAGCTTTTTCTACTGGGCCGAGACCGTCAGAAATTCCCCGAGGGCACACTTGCGTGCTGAAGGAAACGTGGAAAAACAGGGATGGATCCTTCACTATTTGAAAGGCTTGACTGAACGATCAACCAATAATCGGTTGGTTCCTGGATCCACTATCCGCTAAAGTGAGACATTGCGGTCTTGGCACCCCACAGAGTCTTTTCCAACTCCCTAGCAATTGCCCAACCTCCTTCTCCAAGTTCCTCTAAACGACCATCAACCTTTTCTGTTCAGTTGCCGAAGCCTACCAGTAGTGGCTTCGGTTGGCGTCGACCATGTTCGGTGGGATCCGGCAGTCTCAAGAATACTGTGGCTACCATGGTCATGCGATCACGCTACGAGACATCGAGGGCAAACAAGAGCTCTTTGTGGGGGCGCAGTGACAGGGATCACTATGTTTGGTTGCCAATTTCTGACCTCATTGGAGTACCTACTAACGGATGAGGTAGCCACTCGGTCCTAGCAACGCTTCCACGCTTCCACTACTGCCTGGACCTCAGCCCTCTGGCACCCATCCCCTCCGGTTTCTTGCTCAACCCTGGCACTTGGGCTTGAGCTCCCGAGAGCAGCAGTGTGGTCACACAGCCGAGAGACTATGACCATTGTCCAACTGAGATGCTTGCATGAGGCTGGAGACAATACATCCAGCTACGTGATACTACATTCAACATGGTCAACAGGAAGCCCGGCCTTCTTTGGCGCATACAAGTGCATGATAACTACCGACTGCTCGTACGAAGGACTCTACCGCCTGAAGAGGTTGGTTACTCGCGGGCAAGCCACGAGACATTGCCCCGTTTTTCTTCTTACGTACTTTTATTGGTCAATGACGGAGAATGCACTAACCAGTGTTCTAGAGTACCTACTCGTATTGGAGGATGCTATTCCCAGGCTGACCCGGTTGGCATGGCCTTTTGAAACCCCACTCTGGTACACTCTACCGGGCTGGGAAAACTCGGTTGATACCCTATGGTCTCCATAATGTTCCTCGTCTAGGTATGTCGGTATCCACCCTCCACTACAACCATGACATGATTCTGAGAGGAACAGGCTTGGTGTCATGGGACGATACTGCAAGCCCGCTGTCCTCGCCACATCCCCAGCACTTTTGATTCATTCCTCGCCTCTCCATAGGTACCATGCTCCATGCTCGCATGACAGAATCCACAGCCAAAGAAGCTTGACGGAGGTGCCTTCTCGGCTGGGGATTGACACTACAAAATCGGCCACCTCCCCATCCTCCTCTGTATCTCTTTTTCCTTCCTCCATCATATTCCCGTCTCTGACCGGCTATCCCTCGCTTTGTACATCGTACACGGAGCTCGTTCGCTAAGGCTCTGGACATTGGCATTTCCGTTCGCAACCTTTCCAATCTCTATATCATAATCTACCTTACATATCACATACTCGTCCAACATGCAGTCGTCTCTCATTCTGCTGGCTGTCGCCAGCCTGGCAAATGCCGGAAACGTCTATAGAAGAGAGAGCTCAACTTGGGCTGACTGGTCTTCGACTACCACCACCTCGACCACCACCACCACCACCACCACCACCACCACGACTCCCTCGTCGACTGTGGCCCCAACTTCGTGGAATGATTGGACTAGCACAACGACGACAACGACCACTCCTTCGTCAACTGTCGCCCCTACATCAAGTTGGCAAGACTGGACCAGCACCACCACAACTACGACTCCCTCGACAACTGTCGCCCCTACATCCAGCTGGCAAGACTGGACTAGCACTACGACGACAAAGTCTGTCGCCCCTACAACGTGGAATGACTGGAC